GGAATACAGTACAGTGATGCCTTGGTTCAAGAACACTTTATTTACAAACAATTTGGAACCAAAATACCACTGTGTTAATGATCATCTGACCCTCTGTCTAGTCATGATTTTGCAGTGGACGATCTTCCCTTGTTCCTGATGTCTGCTGACTGATCATGTTGGTGGTTGCTGCAGACTAACATAACTGTGGCAACTTCTTAAAATAAGACCACAAAAGAACTTTGCTGTATGGATTGACTCTTCCTTCCATGAATGATTTCTATGTGGTATAAAGTATTGTTTATGATGTCTTTGTGGCATATGGTACTGTTTGAAAGGATCTTCCCCACCCAAGAACTTGTTTAAAAATTGGAATCTGTGCTCTTAAACTCTGTTGCTGCTCCATCATCTAAGCTTATGCAATATTCTAAAACCTTTGTCCTTATTTCAACAATGTCCAAAACATCTACAGCAGGAGTAGATTCTACCACAAGAAACCACTGTCTTTGCTTTCCCATGAGAAACAACTCTTCATATGTTAAAGTTTTATTATGAGACAGCAGCACTTCAGCCCCATCTTCAGGCTCTGCTTCTAATTCTAGTCCTCTTGCTCTTTCTACCACATCTAAAATGTCTTTGCTACTGAAATCTTGAGCTCCTCTGAGTCATTCATGAGAGTTAGGATCAACTTCTTCCAAGAACCTGTTAATGTTGATAATTTAGTCCCTTCCCATAAATCCTGATTATTCTTAATAGCACCTAGCCTGGCGATTCCTTGCCAAAAGGTTTTCAATGTACTTTTCCTGGATCAATCAGAGGGATAACTCTTTGTGGCAGCTATAGTCTTATGAAATATGTTTCTTAATAATAATATTTGAAAGTCAGCGTGACTTCTTAGCCCTAGTCTAGAGAGAGGATGCTACGTTAGCAGACATAGACACATTTGGGTTGTCTGTCTCCATCAGAGCAATGGGTCTAAAAGCAAACCATGCTGTGAAGAGATATATAGTCACCCAGGCTTTGTTCCTCCATTTATAGAGCACAGGCAGAGTCAGTGTGGTCTAATTCTTAAGGGCCCAGGATTTCCAGAATGGAAAACAAGCCCTGGCTTCCATTTAAGGTCACCAGCTGCATCAGCTCCTAACAAGAGAGGTGGCCTGGTCTTTGAAGCCAAGAGTGAACCTTTCCTCTCTCATTATAGGAACTCTAAATGACGTCTTATCAATATAAAACTATTTAGTCTACATGGAGAATCTGTTGGAGTGTCAGTCCCTGGTCAGTTGATGATCTCAGCTAGATCTTCTGGATAACCTGCTGCGGATTCTACGTAAACACTGCTTCATGTGGCACGTTTATGCTATGGAGGTGGCCTCTTTCCTTAAACCTTGTGAACCACAACCTACCAGCTTCATACTTTTCTTCTGCAGCCTCCCCACCTGTCTATCGTATGGAACTGCGGAGCGAGGGCCTGGCTCTGCATCAGACTTTGGTGTAAGGGGATGTTGTGCTGGCTGGATCCTCTATCGAGATCACAGAACTTTCTGCATATTGGCAACAAGGTTGCTTCGTTTTTGTACCATTCATGAGTTCAGGGGAGCATCACTTTTTATTTCCTTCTAAACCCTTTCCTTCATATTAACGCCTTGACTCACAAGCAAAGAGGTTTCACTGTCAGGCTTTCTTGGTTTCCAACCTGCCTTCCTCGTCTTCCTGTTTTCTCCTGCAGCTTAATCACAGCTAGCTTTTGACGTGAAGTGGGGGACATGAGACTCTTCCTTTCACTTAAACACTTAACAAACCATTCTAGGGTTATTAATCAGCCTAATTTTAATGGGATCTCTCAGGGCAGCCTATGGAAAGAGGGAGAGAGAGCTGGGGCAGCGGCCAATCCGTGGAGCAGTCAGCACACACACACTTATCGATTAAGATCACTATCTTCATTCTGGGAGGCTGACGCAGGAGAATTACAAGTTCAATCCCATCCCAGCCACTCAGTGATTTAGCAAGGTCTTATCTCAAAATAAAAAAAATAAAAGGGGACTGAGATGTAGCTTAGGGAAAAAGCCCTGGGTTCAGTCATCAATACCTCAAAACCAATCCAAAACAACAATGAAAACCCACCATCTTATAGGGCAGAGTTCATGGCTCTCCTTCCAAATTAGGATGTTAACATGGAAAAGCATTGGTCACAAATCACCAAAAGAGGTATTATAATAACAGAAAAGTTTGGGATTTTGCAAGAATTACCAAAATGTGACCAGAGACCAGAAGTGAGTATAAAGTTGGATAAACGCACCAGTAGATTCGTTGACCCCAGGTTGCCACACATCATAAAACAAAGTACGAGGAAGCAAAGTATATTCAAGAGGCAAAGTGCCACAAAGAGTTGCAACACTGTCCTGTTGGGATGGTGCCAGCATTTATCTGGTGGACTTGGGTTGTGCTCTTGATGAGCGGCCAGAGAAAATTCTGAGAGATCTTCTGGATCCTTAAGCGCTCTCCTCCCTCACAGTGCTCAGCCTTTCTCCTAAACAAGTTGGTCAGTACTTTAAGTACTTTGTACTTCTTCTCCTGGGTGCTATGCTACGTGGCCTAACCCCGAATCTAAATGCATATTCATTCATTTTTCTGGGCAGGAGGCGGAAGCCTGGGCCTCACGCATGCTCAGTAAGCACCATACCGCTAAGCGGACCCCGGCCCAACACAAACATAATTGAACCTGAGTATTTATTTGCCTGAGTAACACACTAGCATATACCAAAATCACAAAACTTTCTTAAGATAGCGTCTTGTTTAGTCTTTTCCATTCCGAATCCCTGTTCCTGTACTCAACAGGACCCACCCAGGAAAGTGCCTTAGAGACGTCCTTCCAGCCGCGTGTGCAGCGGCTGCCCCCTGGTGGCTGCTCACCAGAGCGCAGTGCTCGTGGAGCCTGGTCTCACACCTCCTGGAGCGGGAGATTGTGCCTTCACTGCACCCTCTGAAGTACTGTTGGCATTTTCAGCCTCCAAACATAGCCCTAATATATAGCAATCCAAAAAGATTTGCTAAAACAATAAAAGGAGAGGCTATTTATATAGATATATCGATAAAGATATAGATATTGAATTAAAACATGCAATTGTGTGTTCCATGAGAATCTGAAGCAGTCATTGTTCAGCAGGACTCAGGACAGGTGTTGGCCGACTACAGCCCAAAAGTGACATTCGGCCACCTCTGTCATTTTCTTTTATTTAGCAATACTGAGGATTGTATTCAGAGGTACCCTTCAGCCCCCTTTTAATTTAATTTAATTTAATTTAATTGGTGGTACGGGGAAGTAACCCAGACCCTTCACACTCAACTACATTCCCAGTCCTTATTTTTAATTTTGACCCAGGGTCTTGCTAAATTGCTAGGTTGCTCAGGCTAGAGCTCCCTGCCTCGGCCTCCCACACTGTTGGGATTACAAGTGCGATGTTTGGCTCATCCTCACTCTTAAAAGTAGAGGTTTATTAGAAAGTGCAAATTACATGACTATCTTCTCTCTACAATGGTTGAGGTGATCAGTTACAAAGCTTAGGATGTTTAGTGTGGCCTTTTTCAGAAAAAGTTTGCCCCTTCCTGGATGAGTGGCCCAACTGAGACCTCTGTGATGACATGTTATTGCAGCCTGGAAAGAAGATTTGTGCTTGGGTTGTATTCATTCATTCATTCAAAAATTGTTGCATGCTGTGATAATTAATTGATTGTGTGAACTGAAGTAAGAAACACCAGGCTAAATTGGATGGCATAGTTCTGGGTGTGGCTGAGAGGATTTACTGAAGATTTACTGGGATTTGCTGGGTGCGAGTAACAGCAACCAAAGGACCTGCTGCCTAAATGGTATAAAAAGAACACGGAGACGGAGGGCTCACTTCTGCTTCTTCAGAGAAATCCCAATCTTCACTTCCCCTTGGATGCTGTCTCCTGATTTCCAGCATAGACCCTTTGGTCTCCTGATACGGACTTGCATGGGGCACTACAATGAGCTCCAGGCCTTTGGGTCCTCCCGTGCTCCAGCCCAGACAGACGGTCTGCACTTTCCACACCTGACTCTGTGGGCAGCCACTGTAAACCAATCTTAGAAATTCTTTTTAAAAAATCTGTGTACATTTTGCATTGAATCTGCTTCTCTAGTGAGTACTGACTGATACACATACCTCCTATCTGTCAACGTTATTTTGGAACAGAAAAGATTCTTAATATTTCCAAACATGGGGAACACTAGCATTTTCAGTTAAGATGACAAATAAAATCAGCACCCTGCTTTGTTCATATGTTTACTTGTTTGTTTGTTTGTTTTTGACTTTCATTTCTGAGCCCACTATCCAGGCCAAAGTTTGAGCATTTGACTCTGATGCCTCCTGAGTGCTGGACTCAAATCTATCACTGATTGTTCTCTGCTTTCACCCCGTCTCCTAATGACACTGCAGCCACGCCAGTCTTCTGCAGAGGACATGGCAGATTCCCAGCTGGGAGGAAGGAGAGGAAGAGTGTCCTGGAGAGCTCCTCCTATTTTTAGAACCCATCCTCTGCTTAGCCAGGCCAGAGACCTCTGTAAGGAAAGCAGCATTTGTGATTTGTGTCATGAGTAAAAGAAGCAAACATTTGTGAAATTCTAGTGTATCCACGCACGATCCTTTATCAGCAGCCACATGCAGGTCTAGGTGGAGCCTCCTGATTGATAACCATGGCCTTGGTTTAAATGTAGGCCGCTTGGTCCCAAGTCCATGCCAGGTCGTCTTCCAGGAGCCCCTGATGCTGGGAGCTGGAGCTGTGTGTGAACCACCTCCACTAATGGTAAGAAATTAAAAATTAAGCGAGGCCATGGAACCACTTTGGTTCCATTTCTCCAGAAAGAAGTATTCTTAAACAAAGTGGTTAAAAAGCATTTTCAAAAAGCCATAAAACCATTAACTTTTACCACTAGAAATGAAACTCCCAAAGCCCCACCTTGCTCAGGATTCTCAAAACACTGGAAGTAACATCTCTCCACTCACCTCTACACTCCCAGTGCAGGATAGAGTATCTGTCAGTTAAATTCTCACTTTGTGTTCGTTCATCAGTGCTTGGTCTTGCCCAGAGTCATGATCCTTTCCTATTAAAAATAACAATAATAAAAGATTCTGAAAGATCTTAATTAAATAGTGAACGTGTATAGGTCAAGCCAGAGTCCCAGAGTCAAAGAACTGTAGGAAACCACCTGTAACATACCTATCTACACTTGCCATCTCTCCATCCAGGAAAAGCAGCTCTGTATTACTGAATTAAACAGTTAGTGGACACCCTGTGGAATGTAACAGGTTAAAACCTCCTGACATCCCGAGACTGATGACACACCTTGCTGTCCTCATCAGCAGGGCACTGTGTGTAAGATGAGCTGTGCTTGGTGGCTGGGCTATCATTATGCACAACAATTGCACTGTGCTGTAACACTCATGACCTCAGGGCCTCACCCTAGAGGGACATTAGCCTCTACCTGGGGTGGCCCCAGAATATTATTTTTGGGTTTTTCTGTTTGCATTTCTGTTTTTTTTATGTCCACTTTATAACTGTTTTGGAGTGTGTAACTCTCCAGGGATCTGTCTTGTGTTGGGACCTCAGGAGATGCTGCAGCTTTTGCCTGGAAATGGAAGGATCCCTTGAGCTAGCAGGTGATGGGGACTCCAGCCCTGCGCAGGGGAAAGCCAAACAGAGGATGGTAGGGTGAGCCAAGGTGTGGGAGAAGTAAACCAGGGCAGAGGAGAGATTTCTTAAATTCACCTTGTAGGCAGATACCCAACCTCTTGGCCAACACAACAGGCTGTCTGGGATGGACAAAGGCACAGAGATGACTCATTGTGAATGTAACACACACACCTTGTCATGTACAATGCAAACCAGTCAGGAGGGCATTGGAACCTCTGGAACCTGGGATCTGAGGACCCACAGTGCTGCCTCTGTGGCCCAGAATATGGATGTAGGGGAACAAAACAGAGTAGGTAGCTTCCATATCTTTGCTTCTGGGTGTCAAGTTCTGGAAGCCATCTCCATGAATGATGTGTTTCTACCCAGATTCTGGGCACCTAACTGGAAAAGTCTTCTCCTTGCTTCTCTAAGCACCAAGGGCCTAGAGAACAGACTCAGGGCTGTCAGCATCCTGGTCAAAAAAGACATGGAAGGCTACAAAGTAGAGTGGAGAGGAGACATGACTCATAGTGAACCAGCTCGGCATAAGCATTCGGGCCCTGGAGCTGAGCAGTCGGGATGTTGGATCAACACAGAACATGACCTGGGGAAGATCCCTGATGTGGCTCTGCAGTTTCCTTCCACAGGAAGAAGTCTGGCATGTGGTGTCAATGAATTACCAAAAGGAATGGACTAACCTCAGTCCATGTCCATCTCTGTCTGCCATCTGGAGCCCGTGCTCAGGACCCTCTCCATCCAGATAGCCTCTGTAAGTGTTGGAACACCTGGGCCTGCTTCATGGTCTTGCTTCCATCCTCAGCCCTGGTAAACAGGCCTGTGACCCCCTCCCACGTCTTCATTGTCCCCTCACCTCTTCCTCCACTGGGGCATCTGGATTTTTCCTTTCTAAGGAAGATGTGGTTTACATAGACTGAAGAGCACGCTTTTGTACATTTGTTTGGCCTGTGTGACCAGGTCAAGACAAGGAATTTTGTATTTCTAGTTCCCAGAAGGTGAGTCTTTTGTTTCCTCCCACATCAGTTTCCCCACCCACACTGCTCACCCCTGATGATGTTCACCTTCCCATCTTGTGTTATAAGAAGTCTCTCGCGTCTCTGCAGCTCACACATGTGGAATCAAGTAACAAGTGCTCTCTGGTCCCAGGTCTGGCTTCCTGTGCATTCAAGATCCATCCATGCTGTTGTATGTAGCAATCTTGGGCTTGCTGGTTTCTTTTCCTTGCTGTGAGGCTGTATTTGAAGCCTCCAGAGGAACAAAATCAATATAACAAAGGAATTTATTGAGTAGGCTGACAGGATCAGAAGCAGAAGAATCCCACTCGCCACCTGGGGAACCAGAGGCTGAAAAAATCAAAACTGACCAGCTGTATACCGCATGGAGGATTCAGTAGTGAAGTTGAAAGTCCTGAAACTCACTGTTGAATCTCCAGAGTGGGCCTGTGTCAGAAGCCTGAATAGTCTGCTCTGGAATGCTGAAAAAATGTCCAAGGGCAATGGTAAAGAAGGAAGCCCCTCCAAAAAAAGAAACACTACCTTCTTTTCCTTTTCACTCTATCCAAGTTATAAGTCTGTGGGTTGGTGCCAACTGCATCTGAGTGGGTCTTTTACCATCAGTGCACTGGTCCATATGCCAGTCATTCACAGACCCCCAGAATTTACTAATCAGTGAGACCAGTTTTACTCAAGTCAACTTGACATAGTCATAATTAATAGTTAGAGTCCCTCCATTGTTTCTTCATGCTATTGTTGGTGGACATTTAGGTTGCTTCCAGGTTTTTCTATTACTATAAGGCCACTGTGAGCATTCCTGTATGTATCTTCTGATGAACCTAAGTGTTTTAATCTTGGTAATATTCCAAGTAGCACATGCGGAACATAAATGCACGTCTTTAACAGATACATCAAACAATTTCTCTAAGGGATGGGCAACCTAAATTGCAATTAGGGAGAGGTTCTCTGGGGAATGGTGACATTTGTTGGGGAATAGCACAGCATTGTAATGGGAAGGTGTGTGCCAAGATAAACAATGAACAGCATGTTGAAAGAGGTTGGACAACAGGGAGTTCTATCAAGGCCAACATTAAGAGTACGTCACAAGGTGTTTTGTAACAATGATCCTTGGCCACCAGGATTAATAAAGATGACAGAAATCTGAGGTTGAACAGTCAGAGGCTGGGCAGATGTGGTTATACAAGTCTTTTGTGCAATACTGTGCTCCTGCTAGGTTTCTGTGATAGTAACTCTCAGGCAATCAGGCATGAGAATCCTTCTTTCATAACCTTCCAACCTTCTCTTCTCTCTGCTGGTCAGGGTTTATGAGAGAAACTTCAGATCAATTCTGAGACCTCTCATAGCACAGTACCCATTTGCACCCTCATCAGTCATGAGAAGACATCACTGTCATGCTACGTCCTTACCCTAGATGGGGTTTCTCTGCCCTGGTCACTTCCGGTGTTCTCTTGCAGGTACAGGTGGCTCCCAGTGACTATTTTGATCTCCTGATGGATATAGAGGAATGAAACTCCCAATCTACTAGGTGTCCAGTACAAGATCATGTTCTCTAAAATCGAAGAAGAAGTTTGGGAACAACAGAGATTAACAGCAGGAAATATATATTAAGAAAATAAGCTTCTGTCTGAGAGAGAGAGAGACAGACAGAGGACAGACAGAAGGGTTCCTGACTGGTTGCAAAACACTGTCTTTTTTAGGGATTTTTACAGTGTACAACCACAAAGCAAGGCAGGTCTAAAGTGGGGAAAACATAGGAACTCATAAGATGAGCATGAGGTGGGACAGAACAGTGGCCAACCAATGAGATTAGCTGCTCAGGTAAAACTGATTAAATCAGGGACAAATGGGGAAGTGAGTCATGTAGCAAGGGGACATCCTTAAAGAGCAGTGACTCTTCCTGTAAGGGGTTGGGATGGTGACTCCTGGCTTCCTCAGGGTGACAGAGACTATTAGGATATCGATTCCTGATGCTTTTCCTTAGAAGTATGTAGGTAAATTTGGTTTATCTTTTGTCTTAAAGTCTGGCCCACAGTGGAGGTGTCTGTCTCTCCCATAATTGCAAGGTATCTGGCCTTCTGCACTGGCTCCTTCGAGGGCCCAGCCCTGTCTCACTGCCTATAATGTTTCTATCTAACTCAATTGCCTGTAACATGATGATTGATGGTATCAAGCCCGTCAGCACACGCTTGTTGGTCATTTGGATTCTTCTTCATTTTAAAAACATTAGTTGCCAGTCCTTTTCATTACAATTGCTAATAGTCCATTATATATTCCAACACAAGCCCTCTGGTAGAAGCGCTGATGCAAATACCTTTTCCGTGTCCTTTCAGGCTCTTAATGTTTTCTTTTGATGAAAAGAAGTTCCTTAACTGCATTAAATTTGAATTTCATCTCTTTTCATTTGTGGTGAGTGCTTTTATCATACTGTTTAAAAATCTCTGCCTAATTAAAATCATTCTTTTGTTTAAAAAAAAGACATTCAATACAGTCAAAATTCATTTTCTCTTTAAAGGTTTCTGTATCCCTCCAAACTTTTTATTTATTATTAGTTTTTACATTTCTCATTGTTTAATTGAAAAGACCCCTTCTTTTCTGCCTTTTTGGGCTTTGATGGGCGCCTGCCTGTGTCTCCCACTACATAAACATAACAACCCCTTTATCTATTTAGATTTTCCTAAATTTCAAAAATGCTTTGTCATTTTTCATGGTGCAGTAAGTCTTCCACGATTTCTAATTAAAGTCTTATTTTGAGTGTTTTTATGTCTTAGTAAATATCAAAGTTTTTCATTTTCTAGTTACTTTTACGCTAGCATAGCAATTCAGTTGTTTTTGTTTTTGTTTTGTTTTGTCCTTTCTTATTGGCTTGTATTCTACATGCTTGCGACATTCTCTTCCCAGTCCTAGCAGCTTCTTTGTCTTTGCCTTGGAGGAAGCACCAGACCAACCTTAGGGTGAATGATTCACTAAGACTCACAGAAATTGTATCCTGAAAGAAAAGAAATAAAACAAAACAAACAAAGGAGAAATCATGGAAAAAACTAGAACTTCTAAGAATCTCTTCCAGGGGATCTCCTAGGACTGTACTGAGGGCCAGGATATATCTTATGCAGCCTCTGTAGTCTGTGCTAAAACACCAGACTTTCCAAAGCTAACGCTATTGTGTTTCTTGTAATCCACAAACGAGCCCCCCCCCCACAGAGCCCCCAACCTCAAGTCCAAAAATGGGACAAGACATTTTTTTTTAAAAAAAGCACTGCTGTTTTATTTTATCCTGGGCCCAGCGACACAGTGCTGTTGGAGTTGGCAAAAGCTGTGTGTCTCCCTCAAAACTTTCCAGACTTTTGGTAGAAAGCATAATTTACAAAGTAAGGGGTTATGGGCGTGGATCAGGAAATCTAAAGAATGAGGAAGACCTTTGTTTCCCTTTGCAGAGGACAGAGAAGTCTAGCAGGAATTAATAATCCTTTGTCAACTTATTTTAGCCCTCAATTTTACATAACATCTGTTGTTTGTAGAGGGCAGCAATCTCTTAACATATCAAGGTCAGGTTCCCAGGGATTTACAATTCTTTACAGAGGGGAGTAGTGATTAACATATCAATTAGGTCACCCAGAAATAATGACTCATGCAGTACAGTATGGCGGCCTTATAGGTACTTTGGTCATACAACTTAGGCATAACGCGAACATAAT